TCATATGGTTTTCTGTGTTGGAATTAAAAAAAATATATTTTCACTGAGCTATAGTTACCATGCATACTATTCGAGAGTTCAATGCTATCTAGAAGGGTTGTGCCACCATCACCACAATCAACGTTGGAAGCTTTCCTTCCTCCTCGGTCGGGCTCATTGGTGCTTCTGGGTTAGGATCTCAATGGGAGCAAGTCACCAGGTCTTTCTCCAGTGGAGCCACTGGCTGTCTTCAAACTCAATTCTTTAGTGAGCAGCTTAGCGTGTAATTGTTTCACCATGATGGCTCCTTGAACTAGATCAAGCAGGGTGATTCAAGGCTGCACGAGGCTTTTGGCACCAGGGAGTACATATGCTCTCCTGGCTAACTTTCAGCTGAGGAAATTCACTTGAAATTCCTTTGTTGTTTGCACCTATGAAAGTGCTGCTATAAATGGTAAAACAAACAAACAAAATATACCCCCTGATTACATATAAAAATACAAAGTAAGAAATTTAACTGACACTCCCCAACCAAACTCATGGCCAGCGAGTGGTTTCTGACTCGTAGCGATGCTATGAGCACGGGGCAAGGTAGACTGCCCTTGTGATTTTCCCAAGACTGTGACTCTTTCAAGGTTGTAGAATGCCTCATCTTTCTCCCAAAGAGCAGCTGGTGGGTTTGAATGGTTGCCCTTGAAGTTAGCAGCCCAATTCATAACCCATTATGGTACGAGGACTCCAATACATGTGTGTGTGCATGTGTAAAATTACTTTATCCCAATTTCAACGTTGCATAACCCAGTGCTTACTGTAATAAAGTAGCCCACAGCTATACACAATGCACCACTTCTCTCATTTTTTAGTTCACAAGTAGTATAAATATAAATTGAGAGGCTACAGAGCTAGACCAATATTGAGTAACAGCATATTGAGAAATATTTTGAGTACAGTGAAGAGAACTCTATTGAGTCATTATATTAAACTATATTGAGTAATAGCGTATTGAGAAATATTTTGAGTATATTGGAAACGCAGAGTGACGATAAAGAAGAGCCCATGAGGTTTGTAATAAGGAAGGCAATCATAGCTCTTCAAAGAAACAAGACTGGTAGAAACCTTTCCCTCATCATTAGCAAAGGATATTTTAAAAAGGTTTTCCATTGATGTGATGTCTGAAACGTTCCTTAATAATAATTATTCCTTAATAAAAATTAATTCTTATATTTCAAAGAGCATTCGTGGCTTTATCACAGGATCATCTATGTGTGCTTCCTCTGTTTCCCCAAGGCCTGACAGGTGCTCGCTGCCATACTTCTTCTGAGTGGGGTAGCTGAGGAACCTCCTGTGCTGGGGTGACATAGCAGAATGGAAGGCCCTATCCTCTGGTATAATGAACCCTTATCCACTGCCACATCGTCTCGCTCTTGAACAAGACTAGCAAAACTACTTGGCAGCAACCCTAAACTAATGGCTCCAGAAAAGAACAATTTAGGCTGGTATTGCATTCATCCAAAAAAATTGATTCTGCAAATGTATTTCTGGACTCTTGGCTGAGCACCTGCATGGTCTTAGTGCTGGGGACACTGCAGTTCACCAATCAAAGACTTTTTCATCAGAGAGCTTCTATTTCAGGGAAGGGAAAAAAGACAATAGCAGAATAAATGAATACATAGTCCACAGATAATGAGAAAAATCTATGGCGTCTGGAAGGGTTAGTGAATGTAGGGGAGAGTGGTGGGGAGTGAGGTTCAAGAAATAACTTGGGCCCCAATCCCAGAGACCCTTGTAGCTAGGTGTTGGGTTGCTAACGTCTTGGTCAGCAGTTGAAATCCACAGGTCTGTCTTTGGGACCAAGATGAGCCTGTCTGCTCCCATAACGATTTACAGTCTTGGAAATCCTCTACAGACTCAATGGGCTGAAATGGACTGAGTGGCAGAAGGTTTTGTTTGTTTTACATTTCAATAGATGGATCTGGCTACTGTGATGAAAATGGACTGAGGAGGGTAAGATTGGAAGCAAAATCAAAACCAAACCTGTCATTGTTGAGCTGATTCTGATTTATAGTGACCTGCAAGTCAGTGTCAATCAATGGCAACAGGTTTGATTTTGTTTCAGTCCTTGTCCCCTCAGTCTGTTTTCAACACGGAAGTCAGGTTATTCTATGGAATAGAAAGGAGTTATTTATCACACTAATCCAAGGGAGGACGAGAGTGAAAGTCCTGCCTCCTTTCCATGAAAATCCACTCCTTGTCATAACTACTGATTTGATGTTTTCAATCCCCATAGACTAGCTTTACTGATGTTCTAGAGTCCCATGTAAACAGAGGGTAAAGGGGTATTCATAGAGCAGTGAGCTGGGAGGAATCTGTGATGGTGGAATATGCAGGAAGGTCAAGATTATAGTCACCATTGAGGTAGGACACATGCTCTTGTGGCCTTTTTGGTGGTGGTGGTGTCAATGGCTTGGAGGCACTTTGACTGCAGAAATCTGCTAACTGGGGCAGGGTATACAATACTAACAACAGGATCTAGGAGGTCTCAGAAAGATGGGAACAGAATTCGCTGTGCACACTGCCCTCCTCATGTAGGAGCCACTCCCAAAGCATCAGCTCACAGCCCTGTGTGTGCAGGAGAATGTTGAGGACCCCTGTGGCTCATTTCAAAGACTCTGGCTTTGTGCTCGGAGTGAGAAGGGGAAGCCTGGAGGGTTTGAAGCAGAAGAGTGACATCATCAGATTTATATTTTAATGTTTATGAGTCTTTATCGTCTTGCCTATATTTTAACTCAATTCTTCGCCATGGACAGTTTTCCAATAAACTGAGGAGTATATAATTAAGCCAGTCTATTGTGCTAGTTGTCACTGCATTCATCACCATGTAGTACCCCCCAGCCCCAACAACTAGCAGCCGTGGTTAGGGCCGTTTAGAATTTAGACACATCTATGATGTGGATTTAATCTCCACTATTTTAAAATGAACTGAAAAATATTAGCAATAAAGAAAGGTATCTACATAATGAAATCTTTCATAGTTTGCCACACAGCTGTTATTTTAATTTAGGTTGCCTTTAGTATTCTTAGGTAACGAGAATCATACTTTACAGACATTCTGTAGTCTCCTTTTTTTTCCATCTGATACAGATTTCATTTCATCCAATTGCTTGTTGGTAAACCCATTTGTTAGCTTATCTACTCACCAACCAGTTATTTATTTTAAAATATGAACTAGTTTTGCTAAGATTTGGGATGAAAAGACAATGGGCATGGCATTTACCTTCAAAACAAAAGAATAGTTTATTGCAATCCATTTTCTAAAAATCGTATATAATTCAAGAGACGGTTATATAAAATATAATCTTTTTTTAGTACTAAAATAACTAAATCCAAGCTCTAAATAACTAAACATCACCACTGTTCCAAACCACTTATTGAGTATATTCTATGCATGAAGCCCTGTCCTGGTTACTAAGCATACATAAAATAAATGAATAAAACATCAGCCTTGCCCTTGAGCGAGTTGTCCCTTCTTCACCAAGATGAACCAAATTCAAATGCTTCATGATAAATGAGGATTTTCATATCACACTAGCAACCCAGGCCACACTCACTATAGGATGGAAATCATGGTAAAAACTCACACAAGGTGCAAATAGATAGTCATGGACAGATTGACAATAAGCAGTGGGGCAATCTGAGGGTGGTCAGTCTCCATTTCTGTACTCATAGTCAGTATTTGAAAAAAGAAACCTGCCATCTTCTCAGTGAGAAAAAACATTGAACACATTTCCAAGAAAACCTGATGGAAAATGCCGTGGCGTTTCCTGAGAGGTCTGTAGATCAAGGTTTTTAAAGATGGCTTGGCTATTGAAAAATTATTCCATGTCTTCTCCTATCACCACTGCCAACAACCCTCTGGGATGCAGTGTAATTTGGTCCAGGGGCCACATCTGCCCTGCAACTATGATGCATGCACTAGGAGCAAGCAGGAGGTCCATGTGAGGTTTGGGGGTCAAAGGTTGTGGGAGTGGGCGAGTCAAGATCAGAGTAAACCATACCGTGTGTCTGTATGCTTCTCCGCTTGAGGTCAGATTAGGTTAAAACCAAAAAATGAGACCCCGTGCCGTCATACCGACCCCCAACTCATGGCAGCCCCATGCCTTACGAGGTGGAACTTCTCCAGTGGGTTTTCTTGGCTGGAGTCTTTACACAGCGGATCACTAGGGCCCCTTTCCATGTCACTACACATTGGGTTCCAATGGTCTACCTCCCAGTTGGGAGTTAATACCAACTCTTTTTGTCACCCAGGGACCCAATGAATGCTCCAAGGTGGTCTAAGAGGAAAAAGTGGTCAGAGAGGAGGATCCTGACAACATGGATATAAGTGACAAAGTTGGATGTGATGGTGTGGTGATGGGGTGACTGTGGGGAGCTAGTGAGAAGACATCTTAGACTGGAGCGATGAAACAATGGCTCAGCTATTAGTCTCATCCTGTGTTTGGTTTTTTAGCAAAGGCGCTTCTAAATCACGTCCTGTAACCCTCCCCCAAGTTCTAACAAGTGCAATGAACACCCTGCAGTTCGCTCCGTAAGGACCACTCCGAACTAGTAAACTACCAGCAAGTCCCACGTTCTTGTCCAGGCAGTCCCAGGATCACTACATGTTAGATTCTCATGACAAGCTAGCTGACGTCGGGCCGTCAATGGGTTTTGTTGTTTGTGTGTGTACACATCGTATTGTTTGTAATATGTTGCAGGGCACACTTTGCTTGAGATGATCATTCTCAGATACTCATTTGTGGATGTTCAGCTTTATGATTTGCTGTTCAAATATAAAGATACTAAATAATAAAGATACTAAAACACTGTAGTGTTGGACGGCATTTGAGGTGTTGGGCTTACATCAGAACCAACCTCTGGCAGTTGTTAGAAGGATGGAACTTGGGGTAAATCGGAGACCACCTGTATTTAAGGGCAATGATGAGGCAGAAATATGGAAAGGAAAAAATGCTCTGTTCACTTACCTTCTCTAGTGCAGCTTGAACGACCGACTCACTTTCAGTATCGAGGGCAGATGTCGCCTCATCTAAGATCAGAATCTTGGGGTTTCGAACTAGCGCTCGAGCAATCGCGATCCTCTGTTTCTGTCCTCCGCTCAGTTGAGCTCCTTTCTCCCCTACCAACGTGTTAAATTTCTAAGAACAAACAGGAAGTAGAACACAATGAGAAGGCAGCATGCTCAGTGATTAGAAAAGAGGACCACCACCATCACAGTTGTGCTCGACATTAGCTTCATCACCACTTCAGGGGCCCTTGGGCTGCTGATCCCAAGGTGAACAGTTCGATGTCACCAGCTGCTCGGTCTCGGAAACGCACAGGGACAGGAAGTCGGCATCAGCGCGATGGCAGTGCGCTTGTCTGTGTCCATGGATTTAATTATTTATTTTGGTAATCACCGCTTTAGCCTGGCTAGGTTTTTTGTTCTTTTTTTAACCCTTTGTTCTTGTGGAAACAAACAACTGCGAGGGAAGGGCCTACCAAATCAGTGGCTAGGACTCACAGAAAGGGGAGCATATGATTTGTGAGCGGGATCAGAAAAACTCATAATAAGAACCAGTTTTCCAAGCCCCGACCATTGCAACAAAAACAGAATGAACTATTATTTGAAAAAATGATGAACAACATAATAGCGAATTTTCTTTTGGGACACTGAAATGCATGTTAGGAAAGGAGGACTGCAAGACTAACCCTCCTCCCACCCGAATTTTCTTCCACTGTGGGAGTCCTTTTTCTTCTCACTATACATGTATGTATGTATGTATGTATGTATGTATGTATGTATGGTGTGGGTACATTTAAAACAAAGTAGAGATTCCCAGATGTTTAAGGGGAAAGTAACTTCTAGCACTCATGAAATTTGGCAGTAATATTCTCTTGGATTAAATCACTGATTCAAAGCTCATCTCTTGAAGAATAAATTTTAAAGATTCTCTGTAGTCCCTGAGTTCCTAGAGATGAGTAGTGGTCCCAGGAGCCCTGTGGCACAGTAGTCAGGCGTGGCTGCTAACTGATTAGGTGGCGGCTGGAACCCACAGAGGGCTCTGCAGCAGAAAGACCTCATGACTTGGTCTTGAACGTCATGCTTCTGTGAACCATCGAGTTTGTAGGCCATGGTAACTACGTGGGACAGAGTAGAACTGCCTCCATACAGTCTTTCAGGCTGGGAATATTTATGAGAATGGATCACCTGGTTCTTCTGAGAAGTACCTGGTGGGTTTGAACTGCCAACCTTTGGCTAGCAGCCGAGTGCTTAATCATTGCGCCCACAAGAGCATTTGTTGCATGGGGTTGCTAGGAGTTGAAGTCAACTCCACGGCATCCAATAAACAGTAACCTTCACATTAGATTTTAAAAAATCAAACTTCTTAGCAAATATTTTACATACAATGAGGTGCACATCTTTTAAGAGGACAGCTCTGTTTTCATAAAGGAGTATTTCCTAGCCTGCATACTTCATGAATGTGATTAATTGACATTATTTTTCATTTTAGACTTTGTACTATATTTATTTTTTATTCTTCTACCTATGGGATAATGCTCAGCTTACAATTTAATTGCTTTTCATTTACACAGACATTTGTTTTGAAGGGAAAGATGAGATTTATACACTTGTCCTTCATTGTTTTTTACATTTACATCCGGCATTATTTTCCTTCAGCCTGAAGGAACCTTATCAACCTTGTAGCATTGACTTCTCCATCCTGTTGTTGATCTTAAATTGTCTTCATTCTGCACTACATGTTGAAAGATATTTTTGCTTGGATATGTAACCTTGGGTTGGAAGTACTTATTTTCCTTCCATCCTTTAAACGGGTCATTTTTTTTCCCTTCTGGCTCCCATGTAAGGTTGAGAGTCAGTCATCATTCATGTCCTTGCTTCTCGGGATAGCCTATACTTGGGCTTTGGGCACTTTCAAGGTTCTGCCTTAATTTCTGGCATCCGGTGGCTTGGGTATAATGCACTTGGTGTGGTTACTCTTTATCTTTAATCCTTGTGGGGTTTGCTGGATTCCTCAAAGCTGTAAGTTGATATTTTCACGAGTTTGAGAATTTATTTCCTCAATTTTTATTTTTAAAAGTTCAATAAAGATAAATTCTTGTCTAGTCAAAGTTTTATTTTTCCTTTGCAATTCTACCTTTTCTTTCTAGGATTCCAATTACATGGGAGGGTGTTTCAAAGTGTTGGTGGGAAAATGGAATTAAATGACAATGGATAATTTCCATCAACTTTTGGAAGCTCCTTTCTGTATGATAAACTTTTGATATTTTTTTCACATGTCTCTTGGGTTCTGTGTAATTTTCTTAATCTTCCCTCCCCCAGTACTCTTTATTTTGGATAATTTATATTGATCTGTCTTTAAATTCACAGGAATCTTAAGCAATGAAGAAGGGGCCTACAAAGAGTGGCCCGGATTAAAAGAAATGTGCATATTGGTATCTTCTACTGGTTGTTGATCCCATCCAGAGCCTATTTTTCATTTAGTTGCAAAAACCTGATTTCCGGCTTTGGGTCCACTTCTCTGCTGAGATTCAATATCTGTTTACCCTTTAAAATCATTTTTAAAACAAGTTATTTTGAATGCATTTTTCTTAAATATTTTGAACCTACTCAAACTCACTGCCGTGGCGTCACTTCTGACTCTTAACAACCCTGTGGGCAGGGAGAGCTGTCTTGATGGCTTTCTAAGACTGTCACTCTACAGGAGTAGAGAGCCTTGTTTTTCTACCAAGGAACGGTTGCTAGTTTTGAACTGCTGACCCAATGGGTAACCACGATGCTACCAGAAGCCCTTCATGTTGAACACAGGATTGAAATATTTATATGAGTCATTCTTAAGTCTTTGAAATATCCAATATCTGAACCGTCTCAGGGTTGGTTTTCATTCTCCCCTGCCTTTTGGGGTCTATATGAGTCGGTATTGACTTGATGGTAGGGAGTTGGGTTTTGGGATAGCCGGGGTTGGATTTTCCTATTTACACGTCTCGTAATTGTAGATTTTCTACTGAATACGCTGCATGGTATGCTGGTGAGACGCTGAATTCTGTTTCCTGTGGAAGACTGTTGATTTCTGTTCTAGTAGGCGACTCAAGTACTGGATGCTGATCTGGAACCTTATATACTCTTGGTTATTGCTTTGCTAGGTTAATCTGCAGAAAGACAAAGATAATTTCCAAACCTTGTAACTCAGCAGAGCTCAAATTCCAAATTCTTTCTCCTCTAGGAATTTTGTCAGGGCTCGGTGTTAGGCTTTGTTGGGGCAGGTATAGAATTGGCTTTATGTTAAGGTGTGGTCCTTACTTCTAAGGTGTGGCCCTTTTTTGGTGTTGCAGCTACATGCCTGTGGTGTTAAAAGGTGTGAATGTGGTCTCCCCGCCCTGACTGGCTAGTCCTTTCAACATCTTTCAGCATTGCTGGACTTCTTATCTGGCTCTTCCACTTTCAACAGTGTAGCAGTCGCACTCTAATAAACATCAGGAAGTCTTGTCCTAAGATGATGATTCCCACAGGACCTCTTCTTGGGCTTCGGCCCAGTACCCCAACTGTACAGGTCTCTCATCTCCACTCTAGTTGCTTGGCTGGCCTTCTGTTTCACTGGGATGCTATGTTCGGCCTAGATTCTAGCTAACAGCAACGTGGTCAGAACTTTGTCCGCAGAGGGAACACTGCAAGCTTTTGAAGGGTTTTCATGCGTCTCCCTTATCTCAGTCATCACAGCATTGCACGACTTCTTCTTGCCCAATGTTTGGAAACAGTATCACATATAGTTTAGCTACTTTTATGGCTGTTTGGTCACCATGAGTTGGAATTAATGAGCAGTAACTGGTTATGAAAGAATGACTGGCTAGCCTGTACCAGTTTCTCTTGATACAGCTTACAAAAATAATGCTATTATTTATATTGCTTGTATCTTTACCCAATTTTATATCTACTCGAATGAATCAGGCATGGAACTTTTATTAGGAATCTGCTCACTCTTATTTCTCTGGTGAACTTTGGCTGTGGAGTTTAGTTTCCATCATGATAAGCCTGTGTGTTCAGCTTTATGTTGTACTATTAGACTTATAACAAGGTACAACTTTGTGTAGCATTTACCTTTTTGAAAAGTCAAATAATAATGCACAAATATGATTTAAGAAATGTCCTTGTACAACACGAAGAGTATATATAACAATTGCATTGAATTTGACATGTAGAAGTTGTTGAATTGGAGAATGTTTTCTTGTGCATATTTTTACCTACATTTAAAAAATTATACAAATAACAATGCATACAAGGAAAGAGAAAATGTTCTCAAGTTGATTGTGGTAAAGATTGAACAACTCATCTTGATAGGACTGAACTATTGAACTCTATAGTATGTGGATGCAGTGCTTCTTGTTAACAAAGAAAGAAAGAACATTCCCTACATTCTGAGGGCATTGGAAAGGAACAAATGATCAAACAAAGGAATTGTGTGTTATCCCAAGCGACAAATCAATGAACTCATCTCCTTAATGATTTCCCTCCCCTAAACACTACTCTAGGCATTCAACTATGTAGATCATGACAAATTATGGACAACATTGCAAAGAATGAGCATTCTAGAACACTTAGTTGTGTTCATGTGGAACCAGTACACAGACCTAAAGGGAGTCCTTAGTTAGAACATGAGCATGCTGTGTGATTTACAGTTACACAAGGGTTGCATCCTTTTACTAGACCATTCGATCTGTGTGATGAGGAAACAATTTGAGAACCTGGACTACATGAAGAACGCAGCATCAAGACCAGAGGACGACTCATGAACCACCTGGGATATGTAGATGACACACCTGGCTTGCTGCAAGTGAGGAGGATTTCAACACTGCGGAAGCACAAAAGCCACAGTCTTCACTGATTACACCATAGCGTAAAGAAAACAAAGATCCTCACAACTGGACCAATAAACAATTTTATGATAAACAGAGAAAAGATGGAAGCTTTCGAGAATTTAATTTTATTTGGATCCACAATCAGCATGATGGAAGTCAAATGATGTATTGCACTGGGAAAGAGGACTCCTGTAAAGTGCCCAAAGTGAAGATGTTACTTTGAGGGCTGCAGTACACCTGGTTCAAGGCATGGTATGAATAACTCAAATGAGAGAACAGTTAATGCCTTTGAATCATGGCATTAGGGAAGACTATTGAATATCATATGGACTGTGAGAAGAATGAACACGTTTATTTGGGAAGAAGTACACCCTGAATGCTCCTTAGAAGGGAGTATGGAACGACGTTGGAAATGTCTTATCAGGAGGGCTGGTCTTTGGAGAACAACATCATGACTGGGAAAGTACAGGCTCAGAGAAAAGAGAAAGACCCTTGGTGAGTCAGACTGACACAGTGATTGTCACAATGGGTTCAAGCATAACAACAATTGTGAGAGTTGCTATTAGTTGGGGTCTACTCAACAGCACCTGTCAGTAACAACAAGACACTATTACTCTCAACTATTATCTTAAATAGTTAGAAACAATAAGTAATTGTAGGAGCCCTGGTGGTATAGTGAGTTAGGTATTGGACTATGAACCACAAGGTCAGCAGTTCAAAACCACCAGCTGCTCTGCAGCAGAAGAGATCAGGCTGTCTAATATAAAGATTGGGGAATGTAAATGAATGGTTTTACAGCTCTCTATAAATTATAAATACTCCTTGTGATAGTTATATAATCATTTGTCAGTTTGAGAGGATTAAGATGAAGCGGTGGAGTCTAGCCTGCCAATCGGGTCATAGCCAATGAGGCCTCTGTGTGGGCTTGGCCTTCTCCTGAGGATTCTGGGAACTCTGGCATTCCTCCTTGGAGGCAGGAAACTCTCTCTCTGCTCACTCCCTGGGAGACATTGCAGCTCACAAGACACATGGAACTCCCCTAGTGCCCTGAGCTGGAAAACCCACCTGGAGACCCCTGCCAGCACTGAGATGCTTACAACACCACTGGATCCCCACAACTTCCCACCCACTGGCCTGTGATCTTCCTGCATTCTGCATCATTGCATGTGTTTCGTGAGTCTGAAGAGGGCTTTATAGATTGGTATCAGATATATGGGCTATTGTCGGACTTATGAACTTGATCTGGACTGGGCTGGGATGTTTTCTCAATATTCAATTGCTCTTGTATTTAAAGCTCTTTCCTACATACATATGAATGTATATGAATTTGTTTCTCTAGTCTCCCCAGATTAACACACTTGTTAAGATATGTAATTTCCTGTTATCAAGAATTTTAGTTTACTATATCTCTGTCCAAGTATGATTCACATATCATATTCAATATTCTCTCCATGTGCTTCTAAAATGTAGCTGCTTTTCTTCTCTGTTGTCACAGAACCAATTTGAGCATCATGTGGCATTTCCACCATTTGCCACAAGAGGGCCTCACAAGTCAACATTTAACACATAAGTCATTTCTCAGCTTATGATTTGCCTCATACTTGTTATTTAAACTTAGTCGTCTTTTTTTTGCCATTTACAATGAGAACCAGTAAAAACAAAATATATGTGTTGTATATGTATTATATATAAATGTATAAATTTTAATTGACCAAAGATACATTTAATCTTTTAATTATTACTATGCTAGGCTTTACCTAACACACACACATTAATCACACTATCGCTGTTGTTGGATTATGTTTTGAAACATCGTTTCAGACTAAGGGCATAGACTACATGGTATACTTACATTGGGAAACTCCATGATAAAATCATAAGCATTTGCTTCCTTTGCTGCCTTCTCAATCTCTTCATCGGTCACACCATCTCGACCATATTTAATGTTGTTGCTAATGCTGGTCCCAAACAGGACAGGCTCCTGGCTGACCACTCCAATGTGTTCTCGATAATGCCGCACATTCAGGGCTGGGAGGTCCTTCTCATCTACCGTGATCTGCCGATGCAAAGGAATGAACCCTGTTGTGGCCACTTTCACCATTTGGCGGTAGAGTCTTTCTTTCTAGGCCAAGATCTAAACTGAGAAGCAGGATCTTTTAGAAACCAATCATGTTCTCAGAAATTATGACTGTGTTTTGAGGAAGGATTTACAACACATTGCCAAGAGGTTTCGTGTGGTAGATAAGAACCAACAGAATTCTCAGAAGAATAACTGCCTGAAAATCTTACTAAATCATCTAAATATTTTTATCCTAAGATCTAAATCAAAAACCAAACTCACTGCCATCGAGTCAATACCTACTCATAGCAACCCCATAGGATAAAGTAGAATTGACCCTTGAGTTCCTGAGACTGTAACTCTTTGCTGGAGTAGAAAACCACATCTTTCTCTATTGGAATGGCTGATGGCTTTGAACTGCCGACCTGGCTGTTAGCAGCCAAATGCAAAACCAAAGTTATATCTGAAGCTATATATACTCCATGAGCCATATTTTTTAAGAAATGTGGATATGTACAATTAACTTTAGTTTTTTATTTTAAGATTGTTATAACCTCTAATTTTTTAGGAAATAAATGGTTGACTTCTCAACACCCTCTTCCCATGTAAAAATACATAAATGCCTTGTCCTCATGGCTATGGATAATAATATGTGAAGTCTGACTTCTCCTTAGAGATAGCACTATTCCAACACAGTCTAGTGGAAGAAACCAGGGTTTGGCAGCTAGCACTCAGAACTTCTGTATTTCATATCAATCCTCGTATTCCCGTCTGGGTGAATAGCATGGGTGAATATTCCATGCAACGACTTGTACATATAATGCTTGGTCAATAATTTATTTATTCAATATTAACATAGGCACATGGCTCTAGGATACACCACATTAAAACTAAGAAGTCAAATTTGAGACTAGATTTCTTCCTGAATGTGAAGGTGCAACGTTTGGACAGAAGCATTAAGTTTGGTTCTGGAAGCAACACTCTAGAGCAGTAGTTCTCAATCTGTGGGTCATGACCCCTTTGGAAGTCAAATGACCCTTTCACAGGGGTCGTCCTATTTACAACAGTAGCAAAATTACAGTTATGAAGTAGCAATGAAAATAATTTTATGGTTGGGGGTCACCACAACATGAGAAATTGTATTAAAGGGTCTCGGCATTAGAAAGGTTGAGAATCACGGCTCTAGAGTATGAGAAGTGGGGAGAGTGAGCTGATGTTCTACACCCAGCCTTCTTCAGCTTTTGAGAAACTTTAAAATGTTTGGTAACTTCTAGGTACTACAAAGTACAATCTGTACAGCATTTCTAACATCTTATAAAGGAATCCTGGTGGTGCAGTGATTCAGCACTTGGCTGAGAATTGAAACATTAGAGGATAGAACCAGCCAGCTTCCCTGGGATGGTGTGGAGGGGGATGGGGGGACGCTAGGGGTGTTGGTGGTGGTGGGGAGATGAAACAATTGGCTGCAGGAAAGAGGCACAGCAGGCTGGAAACCCTTTCAAACCATCTACTCTGCCAATAGGGTTGCTATGAGTCAGAATCAACTTGGCAGCAATAGGTTTGGTTTGGATTTTGGAAACATGTTCTGGGAGCTCTGCTGATGCAGCGGTTCAGCAGTTGGTTGCTAATTGAAATAGTGGCAATGTGAACCCACCCAGCAAGTTCACAGGAGAAGAATCCTGCTCTCAAAAAGGGGAGACTTCTGCTCTCAAAAAGGGGAGACTTCCAGCAAGATGGTGACTGAGTAACTCATACCAGAGGGACTCCATAGAAATAAGCACAGGAGAGTTACTAAGAGGGAATTCCCACACTTCCAGTCACACTACAGACCTCCAGGCCACTCCCCTTAGCCTAGGCCATTTATGCCTGCCCTCCACCCAGCTGGGGGAGCTCCACACTCTGCAGTGTAACCTGAGGTTGGGGGAATCCTGAAATCCCACCCACCTTCCTCCTGGGGAAATCCTGCCCACCTTCTTCTGGGAGAAATCCTGCCTGTGTGGCTGGGGGAGCTCCTACCCATCCTCTGTGGTCCCACATGACTGAAGGAACTTCCTCCTGCCTGCTGTAGTGCCTCACACAGTCTAAGGGAGCTTGGCCAACACTTGCCAACATTCCACACTGCTGCGGGAACCCCTGCCCAACCTCCGCAGTGATTTAGCTGATCAGCTCAATTCCATCCACCATTCACGGTGCTCTACACCAAAGTGGGCACATCCACCTGCTTTCTGTGACACTCCCCTTGCAGCAGGCACCCCCCACATGCCCTCTGTGAGGTCCCTAGCTGTCATGGGCCACACCATCACAGCTTTTGTGAAATCACCCAGTGCAGCACCATCCTTGTGGGTTCACAACCACCCAACCAGCATTCCTAGAGAGGACCATCCAACTTGCCCTCCACATAACAGAATACTGGTTGACTAGGGAAAGAGTGAAGCCACAGGAGGATAAAGCAGTAGGCCAATTCCATAGTGCAATTAGCTGCAGGCAGTTCAAAGAAGCATTCCTACAAGTCTCCCAGAGAGAGCCCAGTGCGCTTCAACTCTCTGGAAAATGGCACCAGGCTCCTCTAAAACAATGCAGTGCAAACAGCAATCAGCCCCAATGACCTCAACAAAAAAAAACAGAAGAACCAAAAGGCAATGTCAGAAGATGTCCTTAACCTAACAATGTGCATAGAAGAAGCATATTTTGATCTGCCACAGACAGAAAACTTCAGAATGCTTCTTGGAGTCATACAGGATATGAGGGAAACAATACAGAAAAAGGATGAAATGATAGAGGAGATAAAGGCTATACACTGAAGGGAAACACAAGAGTTTAGGTACAAGATAACAAAACCAGTTGCAGACTCACAGACTTCACCAACCGACTGGAGGAGGCAGAGACCAGTGACCGAGGGGACAGCCAAGCAGACTTTAATAAACGTGAACAAAAATCTAATAAAATCATCAGAGAGGCTGAAGAAAACTGAAGAGCTATGTCTGATGCTATGAGGAGGTACAACATTAGTATTATTGGATTACTGGAAGAAGACACAACAAAGAAGTCAACTGCAAAAATAGTGAGAGAATTCTTGGAGGAAAACTTCCCCAGTCTACTGAATGAAAATCAGGCAACCATTCAGGAGGCTGAAATAACACCAGCTAGACTGGTAGTATGCTCACCTCAGCCCCACTTGGTGGTCCATGTGGAGAGAGAGAGAGAATCTTTAATGCTAACCAAGGCTTTTATATTCTCTGGGGATATGCTAGACCCATAATGCTATGGGGGACAACACTGAAGACAGTGTGGGAATTGTACCTGATCTGACCCAACCACACTGAGGGGAAACACTAAGGGCGTGCAACAGAACAGCAAGGGGAACAGAGCAAGAAAGTCCCAGGGAATACCAAAAATAGACTTTGGGGCCAGGCCCTGGTACCTCATCAGACTTTACCAGAAAACACTCCTAAGGATGAACAAATAGACCTTGAACTATTTACAAGCTTTTCTTTTACTGTCATTAGCTTTGTTATTGTTTTATTTTCTTTTGTTGCTTTGTTTTGTTCTGTCTTGTTTTTTTGTGTGCATTTTATTATCTCTGTAGGTCTATCTAGATAAGATAGGCTGGGAAAACAATCTGGAGGAGAAAACAACAGGATCAATGTTTCCAGGGGGACTTGGGAGAGCGGGAGGTGGGGGAAAGGAAGTTGGTGTTAACAAACCCAGGAACAAGGGAACAACAAGTGATCCAAAATCAATAGTGAGGAGGGTAGAGGAGACCTGGTAGGGCTTGATCAAGGGCAATGTAACCGAGAAGAATTGCTGAAACCCAAATGAAGGCTGAACATGATAGCGGGACAAGAGGAAAGTAAAAGGAAATAGAGGAAAGAACTAGGAGGCAAAGGACATTTGTAGAGGTCAAATACAGGGATGTGCATATGTAAATATATGTATATATGATGATAGGGAAATAGATCTATGTGCATATATTTATAGGTTTAGTATTAAGGTAGCAGATGGACATTGCTCCTCTACTCAAGTACTCCCTCAGTGCATAAACACATTGTTCTATTAAACTTGCATTCTATGATGCTCACCTTCCTGACAGTGTCAGTGAAGACAAAGTGGGTACATAAGCAAATGTGAAGAAAGCTGAAGGTGCCCAGTTATCAAAAGATATAGCATCTGGGGTGTTAAAGGCTTGAAGATGAACAAGCAGTCATCTAGCCGAGAACCAACAAAGACCACATGGAAGAAGCGCACCAGTCTGCGTGATCATGAGGTGTTGAAGGGATCAGGTATCAGGCATCAAGGAACAAAAAAATCATATCATTGTGGATGAGGGGAGTGCAGAGTAGAGACCGAAAGCCCATCTGTAGGCAACTGGACATCCCCTTACAGAAGGGTCACAGGGAGGAGATGACCCAGTCAGGGTGCAGTATAGCACCGATGCAGTATAGAACATCTAGTTCTTTAATGCTTATTCCCCGCCCCCTTGCAATCATGATCCCAATTCTACCTTACAAATCTGGATAGACCAGAGCATGTACAATGGTACAGGTAAGAGCTGAAAACACAGGGAATCCAATAATGAGAGTAGCCATACCAGGAGGGTAAAGGGAAGGTGGAGGAGAAAAGGGGAACCAATCACAATGATCTACATATAACCCCCTCCCTGGGGGACAGAAAACAGAGAAGTGGGTGAAGGGAGACATCGTGTAAGAGATGGGAAAAATAATAGTAATTTATAAATTATCATGGGTTTGTGAGGAAGGGAGGATGCAGGAGGGAGGGGGGAAAACGAGGAGCTGATACCAAAGGCTCAAGTAGAAGGCAAATGTTTTGAGAATGAGGATGGCAACAAATGTAGAAATGTGCTTGACACGATGGATATATATTGATTGTGGTAAGAGCTGTATGAGCCTCCAATAAAATGATTTTTTTAAAATATTAAGACAATCTTACTGTACATATAGAAATCAATTGACCCAGTGCATGCTTTGCTTTGTAGCTTTTCATTAAATATTTTGAAAAGTAAAAAAAGAGCAGAGCTTAGGGAAGCCCGTGGGCCGTTCTGCTCTGCCACACAGGATTGCTGTGAGTGGGAAGCAGCTCCATGCTACGTGAGGACTGCGTATTATAGTAAACCCTCCCAGGAGTGCACGTGGTTCACACACTTGACTGCTAACTGA